CTTCCAGCTGACAAGAAAGCCATGGGTTTAAATGGATTTTTTGGGTAAATACAATGTAGATGGATCTATTATTCGTTACAAGGCACAGTTGGTGACTAAAGTCTATTCTCAAGTTTTGGTCTGTGATTTGGTGGACACATTTAGTCATGTGGTAAAATTCTTTACCCTTAATATTTTTCTTTCTCTTACTGTAACTCGTGGTTGGCAAGTTCACCAAGTCAATGTTAATAATGCGTTTCTCAAAGGTGATATTACCGAGGATGTGTGTATGAAGCAACCTTAAGGGTTTGAATGGTGAGCAGCTGGTTTGTGAGTTGAATAAAGCTCTATGCGGTCTTAGGTAGGCTCCATGTAATTGGTTCACAAATTTGCGTGATTATTTGTTTACCTTGGGTTTTGCATCTGTTGAATAATCGGGTAAAGAAAAACGGAAAGAACACAAGAATTTTAACGAGGTTTAACAATGTGCTTACGTCCTCGGTGCCCTAGACGGCGCTAGAATTTTTATTAAATTCAATGTCTCATAGGTTTAGGTTACATCTCCTTTTAAAATAAATAAACCTGGTACATATTTACAAAAATAACCTTGTACCGTAATTGTAACCTCCACTACACGAGAGTTTCACTCACTCCGCTCCATCCTCTGTCCTCTTTACTGGTATATTTATGAGTCATACCTAACAAATCTCTACCTTGGCGAATATCCTGCCCCTTAGGAAACATTCAATGTGGGCTGGGTTACCTTACTTCTTTAACAACTCGAAAACATTCAACAAGTCCAAGCAATGCATGAACTTGTCTGTCGTAACTGGCTTGGTGAACATATCAGCCGCATTCTCATCAGTATGTACCTTCTTAAACAAAATCTATCCAAATGCAACCAACTCTCTGATCTTATGAAACCTTACATCAATATGCTTAGTTCTAGCACAATATACAAGATTCTTAGCCAAGTGAATAGTGTTTTGATTGTCACAAAGCAACTGAACTCCACCTTGCTGAACACCCAACTCCTTCACTAAACCAGTAAGCTATAAAGCTTCTTTTGCAGCTTTAGTCGCTGCCATGTATTCAACTTCAGTTGTAGATAATGCCACAACAGATTGAACATTAGACTTCCAACAAATAGGCCCTCCACCAAGAGTAAAGACATACACTGTCGTAGATCTTCTATTATCTAAATCACTCGCATAATCTGAATCCACATATCGTACAACTAAAGGATTATCCTGTTGACTACCAAAAATAATTTCATGTCGCACAGTACCCTTTAAGTACCTAAAGATCCACTTGACTGCTTCCCAACGTTGCTTACCAGGTTTAGACATGTACTTACAAACTTGACTAACAACATGAGCTAAATCACGGCGAGTACATACCATTGCATACATCAAGCAACCAACAACATTAGAATATGAAACCTTTTCCACATCTTCAGCTTCCTTATCTGTCTTAGGGCACTGTTCTGATGAATGCTTAAGGTGATTCGCCAATGGAGTGCTCACTGGTTTTGCGTTGTTCATCGTAAACCTTTCTAGCATTTTCTTAACATAACCCCGTTGAGATAGCCACAATTTCCTTGAGTCTCTGTCCCTGCAAATTTTCATTCCAAGAATTTTCTTTGCAACACCTAAATCTTTCATATCAAATTCCTGACTCAATAAAGTTTTCAAACTGATAACGTCATCCATGTTCTTCGTATCTATTAACATATCATCAACATACAGTAACAGAAAAATAAAAGAACCATCATTAAGGCTCTTAACATAGGCACAACAATCATACTTACATCGCTTATAGTCAATCTTGATCATATAGGAGTCAGACCGTTTGTACCATTGTCTTGGAGACTGTTTCAACCCGTACAAATATTTCTTCAATCTGCAAACTAAATGCTCGTTTCCAGGTTGAGTGAAACCTTCAGGCTACTGCATGTAGATTTGCTCCTCTAAATCACCATGCAAAAAAGCAGTTTTCTCATCCATCTGCTCTAAATACAAATCCCAACTAGCCACCAATACAAGTACTGCTCGGATTGAAGTGTGCCTGACCACAGGAGAGAAAATTTCATCATAATCAACTTATTTCTGCTGTGAAAAACCCTTTGCTAACAAACAAGCCTTGAATTTATCCCCCTCTTTTTCTATTATTGTTGGTTTCTTCTTATACACCCATCTGAAACCAATATGCTTCTTACCCTCATGAAGGCGAACGAACTACCATGTACGATTGTGATTCAAAGACTCCATCTCCTCAACCATGGAAGCCATCCACTTGTCATTTTCCTGACTAGTAACAGCATCATGAAAAGTAATTGGATCATCATTGCTAACAGTAAGTGCAAAAGAGACCAAGTTTTCAAAACCCAATATGTTCGGAGGCTTTATATTCGTCCGTATCACCCTGTCTCTAGCGAGACTATAATCCTACAAATCATCCGTAGCAGAACCACCAGAAGTCGGTTGAGAAGTTTCTGTTTTCTCAACTAGAAATTGCTTGAAATTAACCACTGTCGTGTATTTCTTCTGCTGCAACATGGGTTGTTCATCAAAAACAACATCTCTATTGATCACAATTTTCTTCGCAACTGGATCCCATAACTTGAATCCTTTGACACCTTTCTTGTAACCTAAAAAAATGCATTCTTTTGATTTTCAATCAAGTTTGGATCTCTCATCAGCAGGTATATGCACATAAGGAGGACAACCAAAAATCCGTAAGTGATCAAAAGTAACATCTTGACCAGTCCATACCTCTTCTGCAACTTTCCCAGCAATTGATGCCCTTGGCAATCTATTGATAAGATAACACGCCATGTTAACAGCCTTAACCCAGAAGTGTTTGGGAAGCCCCGCATTCAACCGCAAACATCTGACTTTTTCATTCAATGACATGTTCATCCGTTCCGCAACACCATTCTGTTTTGGTGTCTTGCGCAGTGTAAAATGTCTCTTAATCCCACGCTCCTTACAGAAGTTTATAAATTATGATTATGTTTACTCCGTACCATTGTCAGACTGCAAATACTTGACTTTTCGTCCTATTTGGTTTCCTACCTCAGCTTTCCACAGCTTGAACTTCTCAAAAATGTCATACTTCTGTTTCAAAAAATACACCCAAACTTTCCGTGAAAAATCGCCAATAAAAGTAACATAATACCTAGATCCACCCATAGATGATGTCGTGGAAGGCCCCCATACATCAGAATGCATATAATCAAAAATCCCTTCAGTTGTGTGCTTCCCAGTCTTGAAAAGAACTTTAGTTTGTTTACCAAGAATACAACTTGCAAAAATCGAGCTTATAACTTTTAACACCATGAAACAAATTTCTTTTATGTAATTCAACCATACCACGTTCACTAAGGTGAGCAAGACATATATGCCACAGTTTGGTAGTATCATCACAGGACTCAACAGAATGAACTTCACCTACAACGGTACTCCCTAACAATCTATAAATATTCCCTGCAGTCATCTTTCCTTTCATCACAGTCAAAGCTCCTTTAACAATTCGAATGATTTCCCTATCTCATCAGCCTTAGGGATAAAACCATTCTTGTGCAAAGGGCCCAAAGAAATCAAATTCTTCTTCAAATCTGGTATATGTCGAACACCACACAACGTCCGAACAAAAATCATCATACATCTTAATTCTGACATCTCCAATACCAACAATATCGCAATATCGATTATCACCCAAATAAATAGAACCATAATTAACCGACCTGTATGTTGAAAACCATTCCATATGGCGTGATGTGATAAGAACATCCAGAATCAAGACTCCAAGCATCCGTCAATTGAGTCGTTGAAATAGAGAGCATATCAACCTCACTGCAATCAGAATTGTCATCCTCGACCACATTCACAGAATTGGATAAGTCATCACGCTTCTCATCAATCTGCTTTTTCAACTTCAAACAATCTCGCTTTATATGTCCTGCCTCCTTGCACTTGTAACAGTGAATTGTCTTCTTATCCCTAGATTTGGATTTGAAATTCCGCTTCCCAGACCTTGCCTTCTCTGGCTTCCATCCACGATCTCGATTACCCTTGGCATATAAGCTATCAGCTTGAGAGCTTTCCCCTGCATTCAGCTTCCGCTAGTTGTGAGCCAACAAGGCTGCAGTAATCTCCTCAACTTTGATAGTCTTTTTCCCATATGTAAGAGTAGTCACCATGTGTTCGTAAGAGGGAGGCAACGAACACAACAGAATCATCACTTTGTCTTCATTCTCAATTTTCACATCAAGCAGAGCCAAATCAGAAATGATTTGATTGAAGACATTCAAGTGTTGCGCCAAATCATGATCATCTTGCACCTTCAGCCCATACAGTCGTTGCTTTAGATACAATTTAATCGTTAAGGATTTGGACATAAACTGATTTTTCAACTTCTTCCAAATTTCATCTGGAGACGACAGATGCATGACGTGATACATGACCTCGTCCGCCAAACATAATCGTATGGTTCCTACCGCTCGCTGCTACAATTCTTCTCAATCTTCCTCCTCCATCGACGCCGGCTTTGTAGGTCGCAAAGCCTTCAAGATCCCTTGCTGCGTCAACAGATCCTTCACCATTGTTTGCCATAATCCGAAGCTACCCTGACCATCAAATTTCGCAACTTCGAATTTGACTCCTAACATCTGATACCAATTGTTTAATAATCGGGTAAAGAAAAACGGAAAGAACACAAGAATTTTAACGAGATTCAGCAATGTGCTTACTTCCTCGGTACCCTAGGCGGCGCTAGAATTTTTATTTAATTCAAAGTCTCATAGGTTTATGTTACATCTTCTTTTATAATAAATAAACCATTGTACATATTTACAAAAATAACCCTGTATCGTACCGCGGAGGCTTCTCTCACTCCGCTCCATCCTCTGTCCTCTTTACCGATATATTTATGAGTCATACCTAACATTATCTTTTCGTGTTGATAGCTCATTATTTGTGTTTGTTTCACCTGCTATTGTCACTTATATCGTGCTCTTTATGGATGATATCTTAGCGACAGGAGTTCACATTAAGCAGGTTATTAAACAATTGTATGTCACATTTTCTTTAAAGAACTTGGGTCTGTTGCACTACTTCCTAGGCATTGAGGCCACACATGTCAAAGGCAGTCTAGTCTTATGCCAACGGAAGTATATCAAAAAGTTGTTGGCCAGATTCGAACTGGATCAGGTGCGACCAGTTGAGACACTTATGCCCGTGACTCCCAAGTTGAGCAAATTGGAGGTGAACCTGTGGACCCTCAAGTCTATCGCAGCGCGGTTGGAACACTGTTTAAATTATCAATGCTCCTTCACTTTTGTCTGAATTATCAGTCAGTTATACCGTTGGGGGACCAGTTAAACAACTTCAAAGAATACATAGCCAAGTTGAAAGCTCTTGTTGGAGAAGACAGAACACAATTCATCTTGGAAATTACAGTACGATATTTCTGCTTACACCGACTTGAAGGTTAACTCCGCTGCGGACTTCGTAAAGGTAATTTTTAAGGGTCAAATCCTAAATTCGAGACCAAAATCATAATTTGACCTTAATAACGTAACTACTTATAATTTTCGTTCTAATGAATTTGAGTGGAATTTTAAAGGAACTATACGGTTTGGGAGCTAGGAGAATTGGGGTATTCAGTACACCACCAATCGGCTGTGTGCCATCACAAAGAACTTTGGGTGGAGGATTTCAAAGGGGATGTGCTGAAGATTACAACGTGGCAGCCACACCATTCAACAAGAAGCTGTTGTCGGTATTGAATTCCGTTCGGGCAAGCATGCCTGATGGCAGATTTGTGTACATAGATGTCTACAACCCTTTGTTTGATCTCATTCAAAACCCTCATAAATCTGGTATTTTTATAAAATATTTACTACTTAATCCTACTTTAAAAAAACTAATGATTTACAGTGGTTAATCAAAACAAATCTTTTTCACCTTATTGGTGTTGTTTAGGGTTTGAAGTTGTAAACAGAACCGGGAACATAGAAGTGCCAGTGTTGTGTAACCAACTCAACATGTACAGATGTGGATATCTTTTGGGACAGTTATCATCCCACGGAGAAGGCTTACAGTGTCTTGGTTAAGACAATCTTCCAGAAGGTTATCAATGATTTCTTCAAATGAACCAAATCTCAGATGAAAAAGTGATCAAAGCACTGTATGTTTTTCAATTTATTATCTTGTTTTATCCTCATAAAAAAACTGCTCTTTCATATAGGATACGTAACTTTATTAAAGTCGATGCAAACTTTTATTTATATATATTTAATAAAAATGTCGATTTATATTTTATTTATTTGTCTTTACAATGTTTTGAATCCAATGTTTTCGATTGAACTAAAATTTTAAGATCAATTTCCTAACAACAATCTAATTACAATTGGCCATAAAATAACGTTATATGACAATGCTTCGTTTAATTCATTCAATATGATAAATAGAATTCTTTTTATTATCATTATTGTCAAAATCATTTTTAGGTCGAAGGAATTATTTTTTAGAAAACATAAATATTATAAAAAGTGAGTCGTTATATCATTTCTAGTTATTTGTGATCGATCACGTACAAATCTCTTTTTTTTTTAATTTTTAAATTTTTTTTAGAAAAATAATTTTAAAAGTTCGTATAACACCCTTAATCTGCATTCATCTGAATACAAGTTCAAGATGTCATATGTTTTTGTTTATCTGTTACTGTTCAAAAGAGGGAAAAATTGTTTCTTTTAACATTTATTATCAAACTATTTAACCGATTAACACCATGATGTAGTATTTTAATTTTCAATTTACACTTGATCTCGCTCAATATCTAGACAATTTAATATTATTTCATATCATAATTTAAAACTGTCTAATTTAAAATTTAATCAATTTATCTTTATAACATAAAATTTTTATTACACTCATACATAACCACTTAAGATCTTATCATATTTTCACATTTCCTTATTACATTTCTTATATTATATTATTTCCCATTTAAGCACGGTTTATGTATTTTCCTTTTTCTAAAACTATATATAAAATATTTATAATCATATTTGTTTTAAAATAGATTTCTTTTGGTTGTTGTCTACCACCACACGACCACCCACTTACAACAAATTTTATTATATTATCATCATTATATAGATGTACATATCATTCATATGTAAATTCAAACAAATATAACTCATTATCTATAAATCATTCAATGTAATTTACACTATTTTTTATAAAATTGTACCGTAAAATATAATAATTAAACTTGTATAGTTTGTTGTCCTATACTTTCTCTTTTTCCTATACTAATCCTTTCACTGTACTATTCTTTTTCCTATATCATTCATTTCACCGTACTGTTCCTTTTTCTGTGATAATTCCTTTACTGTATAATTTTTTATTATACTATTTCTCTTTATTGTATCTTTTACTGTTCTATATCTTTTACTTTTTTTATGACCCAATGTATAATCATGAGAATACATTGCACGTGAGTCTATGCTTAAGTGTTCTATGCTATGTGTAGTATAAACTGCCTGAAACTGGCTGTAACAGTGCGGCACATTTGTGCCTTGTGTGCAGCAAAGCCACCAGTAATCTATAATAGTATGGCACATTTAGTGCCCTGTGATTGCACCGCAAGTGCATTATACTATACTATATGCAACATAGTTTGCTTGTAGTATATAGTTGTATGGCACATTTAGTGTCCTATGATTACACCTTAGGTGCACTGTGAATGTACAACACTGTAGAACACAACAACACTGTACCTATAATCCCGAATACATAAATATATTTGGTAACTATTATGTATACGAATGTACCTTTGTATGTTCGATCAATAACACTCACCTCGCGCACCACTGTCTCTAAAGTCTTATACACTGGGCTTTTATTTGAAATCTTATATCCTTCTTCCTATAAAAATATTTATAGAAAAATTATCAAATTCGTTTAATGTTTTAATCATGTGTTCATACTTCAATTAATATAATAAATTCATAATCATACAAATATTCTTTAAAATATCATTAATATATATTCAATACTAATTTCTTTTACCAAATCGAAAACTAACTTTAACTCTATAAAATTAACCTTCTTACTCCTTTAAATAATTTATTTCTCACAACAATTCACCTAACCTTCCAACATTTCACATTTAGCCACCAATAAAATTTTCTTTCAGTTATAATTTTAATGCTTCAAAATATCCAAATCAGTTCTTTAATATTCAATTTGAATTCATATCAATTATTTTCACATTATTTTCAATCTAATGCATTAACTTATATATAATTATCGTTTTACCACCAACTTTTCTAAAACTTACGAATTATACCTTTATCTTATACAACTTTTCATATTTATCTAAACTAAATCTGTCATCTCTTAATTATAATTTTCAACATACAAATTTTCCAACCTTTACATATTTATTCTTCAAATTTTTGTAAACTTTCGATTCGATTTGATTATTCAAATACTTTACAGAACTTTATCACTTACTAGCTCTTTACATAAATTTCAGATCAAAATGTCAATTGCATAAAGAATCTATTCTTAAAGACGATCTATTTATTTATAGAATAAAATTTCTTTTTGGTAAAATTACCTCTTTGGTCCTTGAATTTTCTAAGTTTCTACTTTAGTTACTAAACTTTTAAAAAATCATGTTTTAGTCACTAATCAAATTTTTGGATATTACAGTTCGTCTTTCAATCCAATGTGAAAAAATGAGTTTGAGAGTAAATTATGCATGCAGAATGTCAAAATACTCTCATAACATCCAAAATTACTACCATAAAAATTATATATTATATCAAACTAATATAATTTTAATTTTAATAATATAATTATAAAATGGAAATTTATATCTAGAAACTATAATTATTGAAGGGGGGAAAACAAAACTCACTTTTTTTTCTCAAGTTTATGGAGAACAAGAAAAACAACTCCAAAGGTTCATCTTCCAATTTGCTCTATAACTTCAAACGACCTTCTCTTCAATTTGTTTCTCATCATCAGTGTCCTCTTCTTCTTCGTCATCTCCATCATCATCTCCATTTCCATCATCATCTTCATCTTCACCATCGTCTTCAATTCCACCTTCAGTCTTAGCCTTATCTATCAAATGAGAACCTTTAGAAAGTTCGTCGAGGTAAATCTGGGGATTGTGGAACAACAAAGCGATGAGGCCATTGTCGAGCTCGATTACCCTGTAGTGTCATTGGTCGTGAATAGAGAACGAGGAATACTTATGGAAACCCTTGAATTTTGACTCCCTTCGTATGCAAAAAGAAAAAGGGAAAAAGAGAAAAAGGGGGAAGCACGGCGTGAACTGATTATCAAGGGGGAAGAAGCGGGAAATGATGAAAATAATGGGGGAAATTAAAATACAACTTTTACAGATGACACACAATTAAAAGTGTACTCCGTGTTTTTGAAAAAAAATTAGATCATGACTATTAAATATGACACACGTTATTGTAAGTCATAAAGCGTTCGGATTTAAAAAAAATGGCATTATAAATACTAATGTGAACATAAACCCTAGAATTTGGGATCTTTGAACACAAACCAAATTAGTAAACAATAATGGTACCAAATGATAGCATTTTTCGAATAGAACAGTTTTCTATTTCACGGAATGATCCAAAATCCAAAGGAAATTGCTCGAAAATGAAAAATAAAAATTCTCCTACCTTTTTCATGGGGAGAACGAAATGTTGGATGAAAATGGCTAAGTTTTCATGAAATTTCTAATGAAATTCATGTTAATTTAACCTTTATTTAAGCTTAAATGAATAAAATATTCATTTAATAAGAAATGTCCATTTTTCATTAATGAAACTTGATTTTTACAATAATACCAAGACACATAACTTTATTATCTTTCCAAATTCAAAGATGAACAAAATACTTACCATTTAAATCCAACGGTCCAAATTGAACATGGAAATAAATTCTCAAATCAAATACTTCATATTATTTTTTATCATTTTAAAATGTGGAAATAATATTTCTAAGATTAATTTATCATCTTTCAAATTTTCCTGAAATTTCTATTTTATCCGATTTAACGAATTTTTACTGGACTTTAACATTTTCCAGTTTTTAACACAATATCCAAATCAAGAATCTAATTTCAATAAAACCCCTCTCAAGAGTAAACTATCCATTTATAGAATAAAAATTATTTTTGGGAAAATTACCACTTAGGTCCCTAACTTTTCCCAATTTTTTACTTTCACTATCAAACTTTCAAAAATTACATTTTAGTCACTAACCAAAATTTTGGGGTATTACAAGAATGACCAATTCAAAATGCTCATTATGGTGTATGTGGATGACATTATCCTTACCGGGGCAATGTTGATGAAGTTGACAACATTTTTAGGATAATCAATGGTGAATTTCTATTGAAAGATTTGGGGTAGATAGATTTCTATTAAATCAAAAGTGTTATGTGCTTGAGCTTTTATCGAAAGAGAGTATGGGGTCCCTCAATTCTGTCCCGACTCCGATGGTTGTTATGAACAAGTTGTGCAATGATGAAGGGCAGATTTTTCATAACATTCATTTGTGTAGAAGTATTGTTGGTGGCCTACAATACGTTACCTTGACCACACAAGATATCGCCTTTGCAAATAATAAAGTTAGTCAATACATGAATTGTCCTAGGGACACACATTGGAAGGCTGTGAAGCGTATCCTTAGATACTTGAGTTGCACCGTTGATTATGGTTTAGTGTATCGCTCTTCTGATTTGATTGATATGGTCTGTTATTCTGATGCGAACTAGGTAACATCGGTTGAAGATAGACGATCAACGTTAGGTTATTGCATCTTTATTAGGGGTAATCTGGTAGCTTGGTTCTCTAAGAAACTAAGTGTAGTGTCCAGGTCTACTTATGAAGTCAAATATAG